GATAGAAAGAAAAAAAATATAGATCAAACTCATTAGAAACCCCAAAACATATTGGAAAAGGAATATCAATAAATAGAGAACAGGAAAGAATTAAATAAATAGAAATCTTTTTCGCATCCTGGCCAGTCCCGTTCGCTGGCTGAGACTCGCTCGCCTTGTTAATAAAGTTGTGGATTTGCTTATTATTTGTGGATTTATTTGGATTAGTTTTGAAATAAGAATTATCATTATCATTATCATCGTTGCTTTTATTATTATTATTATCACTATTATCATTATTGTTGTTGTTGTTATTATTATTGTTATCACTATTATCATTATTGTTGTTATCATTATTATTATTATTATTATTATTATTATTATTATTATTGCTGTTATTTTCATTATCATCATCATCATTATCATGTATTTTTATCATTATCATTACGATTATTGTAGTTGTCATTATATTATATTGTTATTATTATTATCATTATGGTATTTTTATTATTATTATTATTATGGTATTTTTATTATTATATTTATTAGTATAATGTTATCGTTGTTATTATGTTATGATTATTATTATCTTCATTACTAATATTGTTATTATTATTGTTGTTATTATTATTATTCCATCATCATTATGATTGTCATTAGCATTACCATTACCATTACCATTATCATCATTACCATTATCACCATCATTATCATATTGTTTTCGATATCATAATTATCATTCCATTTTTTTTCTTATATATATTTTTTTCGCGAGCACTCAACGCTTCTGACTCTGCAAACAAACAAAAAAATGTTGCAAATTGATCTTGTCGCTTTTTCCGCATTGCAAAAAAGATGTTGCTGGTGTTGCATTGTCTCTTACTGTGCTGTTGCGCTGTTGCATAGAATGGACGTTAGCGTGAGTTGTTATTTCTTCTTCTTCTTCTTCTTCTTCTTCTTCTTCTTCTTCTTCGTTTTACGTGCACTCATTCTCTCTTTCTATCAATTATCTTTTCTTAAAGTGTTTCTACATTTTATCATTATTACCGTTATTTTTCATTTTTTTTCTGTTTTATTTTTTTTATTTTTTTTTTTTTTTTTTCGTTCGTGACCGGCAAGTAGATCATAATCATCCAGGCAAAACTGTCTTAATTAAAGGGAAAAATAAGAAAAAGAATAAGAATGGACAGCAATTATTGATTTCTTTAGCAGTTTATGGACAATAATCCTCTAAAATATAAATTCTAAGTATATGCTTTTGTTTTGTTGATATATATTAATATATATATATATATATATATATATATATATATATATATATATATATATATATATATATATATATATATATATATATATATATATATATATATATATATATATATATATATATATAATATATATATATATATATATATAATATATATAATATATATATATATATATATATATATATATATATATATATATTATTATGTATAATGTATATATATATATATATATATATATATATATATATATATATATATATATATATATATTTTCTTTTTTCTTTTTTATTTTCTCCCTCTCCTTTTTCTTCTTCTTTATCCTCTTTCTCTCTCCCTATCTTCCCCTCTCCCTCTCCCTCTCTCTCTCTCTATCTCTCTATCTTTCCTTCCTTCCCTCCTCCTTCCCTCTCTCTCTCTCCCTCTCCCTCTCCCTCTCCCTCTCCCCTCTCTCCCCTCACCTTCTTTCTCCCTTCTCTCCTCTTCCTTCCTTTCTTTCAGGGAAGGGGGAAGATACATAATCACCTTTTGTTTTCTTGTTTGTGATTTATCGACACTTTTGCGTTCCTCCTCTTCGTGTGGGCTTTAATTTTGGTACCTTTTTGATGTGTCATTTGGTACCGCTAGATTTGGCACAGCTGAGGTTGTGTTTCTGGTTATTTTTATGAGTCGATTGTTGTTGTTATTGTTGTTGTTATTTTTCGTTATTGCTGTTGCTGTTATTGCTTAGTTGTTGTTGTTAAAATTTTTTTTTTTTCTTTTGTTGTTGTTGCTTTATTATCGTTGTTGGTGTTATTATTATTGGTATTATATTTTTATTGTTATTTTATTATTATTATTATTCCTTATGTTGTTTGTTGTATTGTTTGTATTTATCATTATTATGTTTTTTTATCATGTTATTGTTTTCATTCATTTTTCATATTTGTCATTATTACTGTTTATCATCATTCCAATTATTTTGTTTTCATTTATTCTGCTTTTGTAAATACGAATTAACCTTCTTATGATAACGATGATTTGAAAAAACATTGAATGTTTATCATTGTTATTGTCATTATTATTATTGTTATTACTATTATTATTATTATTATTATTATTATTATTATTATTATTATTATTATTATTATATTATCATCATCATCATCATCTTATATCTTGTCATTATCATTATTATTACATTATCATTATTGTTATTTTTATTATCATCATTATCATTGTTATCATATAGTTATTATCACTATTATTATATT